AATTTAATATTCATACAATATATTTTTAAATGTTAAAATAATTTGTTATAATTGATTAAATTTTCTTCCGCTAAAGTAATTAAACATTTATTTATTTTTTTAAATGATACAATTAATTAATTTTTGTTTTTTTTTTTTTATAATTTGAATGTTGTAAATTTGAATAATAGTTTTATTATAGTTAATCATATTAAAATTTAAATTTGAAGTACATATATTAATATGTAAATCAAATCAGTTTAGCAATAGAAAGTAAAATATACATGTTTTTCATAACTATTGAAACTCTTAACAAAAACATGCCACAAGCGTGTGATATATATTCAGGTGTAAACATACATTTTTTTTTTAAGAGGCATTTCAATTTGTGTGCATAAAGAAATTATCTTTAGGGGTCAACAATAAATGAGGTCGGCAGTAGTTCTTTTCAGCAACAGTTCGCCGCGAAACGTTGCGCAGAGCAGTTGCAAAAAATAGCAACTGAATTTGTAGTTCATTAGATAGATAAAGATCAAGCGTTTCTTCAATTTCATCATATTTCATTAATACTTTGCTTTTTATATAATTTGGTAATAGATTAGATTGGTATAGATTATATAGTTTTTATTATAATCTGTCTATTTCGCTTTATTTTGCAATTGTAGACGGCCAGAATGAGTTAACGCGCTATAGCAGCGAAGATGTGTCCGGGAACGAATCGAGCGAAGCGCCGAACATGACCGAAGTGGAGCGTCAGGCGGAGCTCAATCGGCACAAGGAGGAGATGCAGAAGAAGCGTCGTAAAAAGCGCATCAGCTCCTCGCTGCACTCGTCAACATTTCAGGGCAAGTAGATAAACCTATATAGATAGGCTTGATATATATATCATAGATCTGTATAATAATGAAATTGAATTTCTCTATTTCCATTTTAGAGTTGTATAAGCTGACGGGCGAGATATTGGGCGAGGGTGCCTATGCATCGGTGCAGACGTGCGTTAACATCTATACCGATCTGGAGTATGCTGTGAAGGTAATCGATAAGATACCAGGACATGCGCGTGCGCGTGTCTTTCGTGAAGTGGAGACATTCCATCACTGTCAGGGACATCCGGGCATCTTGCAATTGATCGAATTCTTCGAAGATGATGAGAAATTCTATTTAGTGTTTGAGAAAATTAACGGCGGCCCATTGCTCACGCGTATCCAGGAGCAAATCTGTTTCTCGGAGCACGAGGCGGCGCAGATCATCAAAGAGATCGCGTCCGGCTTAGATTTTCTGCACAAGAAGGGCATTGCTCATCGTGATCTCAAGCCGGAGAATATATTGTGCGTTAAAACGGATTCGCTCTGTCCAATTAAAATATGTGATTTCGATTTGGGCTCCGGCATTAAGTTCACCACGGACATATCATCGCCAGCGGCCACTCCCCAATTGTTGACCCCAGTGAGTTAGCCTAACTAATTAACTAAACTTTAGATCATCTCTTAATTCACCGATTCTTTTATAGGTCGGCAGCGCCGAGTTTATGGCTCCCGAAGTAGTCGATTTATTCGTAGGCGAAGCCAATTATTACGATAAGCGCTGTGATTTGTGGTCTCTGGGTGTAATTGCCTACATTCTGCTCTGCGGTTATCCTCCATTTTCGGGCAACTGCGGAGAGGATTGCGGCTGGAATCGCGGCGAAAACTGTCGAACGTGCCAGGAGCTGCTCTTCGAGTCAATTCAAGAGGGTATGCATAACAATGGTAAATTATTTACAAGAACTCATTGTAAGATTTTCTATTATTTCGAATAGGCCGTTTTTCTTTTCCGGAGGCTGAGTGGCAGGATGTGACCGATGAGGCCAAAGATCTAATTTGCCGTCTTTTAGTTAAACAAGCATCGAAACGTCTCAGTGCCGAAGCTGTGCTCAGTCATAAGTGGATTCGCATGTGCGAGCAGGAGCCGCTTGTCAGCAAGCAAACGTGCCGCCATAAGGCGCTGCAAACGCCAAACAATATCCGACGGTAACTATAACAAAATCCATTTAAAATATATATAATATATTCATGAATTTATTGTAATTATTATAGTAACCATCAATCGGCACGTGAGATCTCACAGTTTGCCGAGTCGGCTATGGCTGTGAAGCGGGTGATCCTGCAGCATTTCTCGATGCGCTACGATTATATGAAGGAGCGCCCGAACATCTACCAGCCCTCGCAGGCCTATAAGGACGCGTACAGCGATGAGAATTATAATCCAAAGCCGCCGGCTCACTATGTACGCAGTCGCTCTCGTAATGCATCAGCAACATCATCTGCTGTCCTCGCTAACAACAACGCAACAACAATTGCCTCCTCTTCGTCCACTTACGGCGGTCGGCTGTCTACGGCTCAGCGCAGTGGGGCTAGTAGCCTTAGCCGTCAATCGTCGAGGAATGCCTCTGGCATATTTAACAATAGCGGTGGCTTCAAGACCCTCAATGTGCACGAGGAGGACGATGACGATGAAGAGGCGTTGGAGGCTTTTGGTCGTCTGGATGACGGTGTAGATGACGAGTGGGCGCAGTCCACACGTCGGTATCAGGAGCAGCGCGAGCGCCAAAAACAACAGCAGGAGCAAAATCCGAACAATGGCCATGTTGGCGATCCRATATATGATGATGATGAGATGGGCGAGGAGGAGGAGGAAGAGCGAGACGGCGAGGACTATCAGCATTATAAACATTATTGGCGCACGCTTGGCGAAGATGATGGCGATGATTATCTCTATGAGCAGCAGCAGCAGCAGCAGCGTGAGGATTATATAGCTGAAGAAGATGAGTTCGACGAGGAGGAGGMGAAGCATAAGGAGCTGAAGAAAACTGATGCTGACAATCGAAAGCAATTGAAAGCTAAAGGTGATGAGAGCGAAGAGGAGGTTAAGGTAGTAGAGAAGGACGATGAACTTATTATTGATAATATGGAAAAAATAAAGCAAAGTGAATTTGCTACAAAAGCAACAACAATGCGCAACGATGCGCAGGAGAAAAGCGTGTTTAAGGGTGAGGAGAGGCAGGAGAACGAGGATGATGATGTTGATGGGCCTAAAAAGCAACAAGCAACGTCATGTGATATTAGTGCTACTACAATCACCAATACCAATACCAACATCAACAGCAACAGCAACAAAATGCAAACAACACCAGTTAAAGCAACAACAACAACCCAAACGAATGGCAACAAAGGCAATGATAGGGATAACGATTATTCTAATGATTACGATAATGATGATGATAATGATGATAACGATGATGAAAATGATAATGATAATGTTTATGATAATGATGATGATTATGTTAAACTATTGGATAGTATTAGTGATTTAAATGAAAAGCTACCTGAAATTTATGAGACTGCAAATATTGTTGTCAACTCAGCGGCAGTGCCGGCAGCAGAAGCAACAACAACACCAGCAGCAGAAGCAGCAGAAAGAGCAACGTGCCCACCAAACGATAATGATAACGATAACAATGTAGATGATTTGAAAGTGCCGACAACTGCAGCTGGGAAGACAACAATGCGAACGACTTTTGGCAAACAACAGCAACATCAACAGCAGCAGCATGAAGAAGAACAACAACAATCTGCTGGCAACAGTAACAAACAGCAGCGCAATGTTTACTTTGCATTGGATGCATATCAAAATGACGAGGATGCCGACATTGATGAAGAAGACGATGACTACGATGATGATGAAGATGAGGAAGATGATGATGATTATGATGATGAGCATGAGATGCAATCGGTTGGAAATGGTTTAAAGCCAACGATCCCAGCCATCTGCAATGCCTACACACGAAAGCAACGGCAGCAGCAGCAACAGCGCTATGTTGCGCCACACGCTGAGCCGCATCGCCTAGAGAATTGGCGCCATCGCAGCCATCAGCCGGAGCAGCCGCAGCGGCATAACATGATCGCTCCTGGTGGCGGAGGCGGTTTTCGAAAGTACCGCCCACCTTTTAGCACTGGCGGCGGCGGCGGCCATTATGGCAATCAGCARCGCAACTATTTGGGTAGCTTCTCGCACGGCGGCGGTGCCGCTGGCTACAAGATACAGCAGCAGCAACAGCAGCAGCAGCAGCGGCATAACAGCGCTGGAAGCAGCAGCGGCGGCTCGCCGCCTTCTGATGAGCACTCGACGTCGCCTGCAACGCAGATTCGGAACTGGCGACAGGATTGCGTCTATGCGCCCATGCGTGGTTGCGGTATGAATCAGCCCAGCCGAGGTCTGCAGCGCGCCAATCAGCAGCAGCATCATCAGCAGCAGCAGCAGCAGCAGCCAACTGTTCGCATTGGCTCCGGCCGCTTTGTGCATTCGTCCCAAGTGCCGCCACATCTGTTGGATGAGCCGCCCACATTGGGCATCGGACTGTCGCCGCCCAGCGAGAGTCTATTGCTGCAGCGGCGCATGCGGCAGCAGCAGCGGCCCGGCGACTTGGCCGAGTATTGTGAGCCCGCTACGGCCAGTGGCTAAGTGTATCAAGAACAATTGCAACAACAACAACAACAATAACTGCAGCTATTAGAGGGAGTCCCATGTGGTTGGGAATTGCGGCATTCGAGCCAAAATAGAAAACAAAATCAAAGTTTGTTTAAAGTTTTCTTTTTCGTTTTTTCTTTTGTTCATTTTCTTTGTATAATTACTTTTTATTACAAATCACAAAACAACAACAAAAACATCTTAAATTTGCAAATTATAATCAATAATTTGCTTGATTAATTTCTTGAAGCGTTATACATAACAGAAACTGTAAACAGCAAGAAACTACTTAAAATTCCGTCTTAATTTAATACAAACTTACAAAATTGTTTTTCTGATAATCATTAAGATAAAGCAAAGAAGAGAGCCCTTATGAAGCAATCCAAAATATGCTGTATAATTAAGCAAAAATAAGAAGAAAGAGAAAAACCAAACAGTCGTTCGAATGAAAAATAAAAACAAAAACTTTTTTTATAAAAAAGATTGAAAAGTGGAAAAAAAACGAACATGTAATTATTCGCTATAATTTTTTATTATGAAAATAAAAAAAAAGATATGAATGCAAATTGCGTTTAAGCGAGTTAGACACTCACTCACACTTACACACATATATAAAGATACACACAATCGATAAAATTTTTTTCTATATTTGGAATGAAAAAGCAAAAAGTCCAGTTGCCGCCAAAAATTGTTAATTTTTTGTGCTTTTCTGTTGAGAGTAGAAGAAGATGGAGTTGTTTGCATATATCTGTTTGTTTTCTTTTTTTTGGCTCAAGTATATCAATTAAAAAAAAAAAAAGAAGCAAAGAAAACTTTGTAAACAATTGAGAAAATCCAAAATGTACAAGAAATTGTTTATCATTTTCATTTCAATTTGCAGAAATTGTTACAAAAAAAAAAAAAAAAAAAAAAAAAAAAAAAAAAATTAAAAAAAAAAAGTATGGAATGAATATACTTAAGATCAAACCTTAAAGAAACCTGAATAATTGAGGGGCTCTGGAGAACTGTTCAGGGCCACACACACACGTCTCACACTAGCTCTAACAAATTTTCAGAAGTTCTAAAATCAATTTTTATTCAATTGATTAATTGGCATAATGAATAAATTTTTGTATATCAATATTTGCTAATGATGTAATCGAATATTACTAAAAAGTCCGCTTGAGCACACATTTGTGCGAAAACCAAGTAAGCAAATTTCCATTCCTTTAACAAGCGCGTTATAAGCTCTAAATTCTAAAAGGGCATTTCCCCACACTATACTTTTGATAAATTTCAACTTTTCCAACACTTTTTCTTTATACAAAATAGAAGCAGGAGAATTCTTGACACTTTGCTCAACAAGTTTTTTCTTTGTGTTTTTTGCTGGGCGTAAATGAAGAAAGAAATTTGTTACAACATAATAATAATAATAATAATAATACAAATTGTGATATAAAATGTAAATGTAAAATGCACCTGAAGGAAAATTAAGAAACTATCAACTGACGCTGTGCCATCAACAACAACAATACCGACCACAACAACTACATAACACTGTTAACAATTGTAGCGGACCTAGATAGGGGTTTAAGGGAGACCGAAATTTCATTAATAACTATGCTTTTTGTAATACTTTTGTTTTTCTGTTCCTCACGTTTACGCCCCCTCACCTGCCCCAACGAGAAGAGAGATACAAAATGTCAGAATGCTTAGCGACTCAACAATTTGTATACACATACGTATATAAGAACATACTTCTATTTTTCCAAACAACAAAACTTAACTAAAAATATAAAACAAAACTAAAAACTTCCATAAAAAAAAAAAGAAACTATTGCATAAAACACAAAAACAAAATAAATAGAAACATAATAATACTGCATATTTTTAACAAACTTCAAGAAAAGAAAAAATAAATTCAGTTACAAATTGAAAATGTTTTTAATATTTAAGTACGAACACCCCAGAGATAATTTTAAATAATTTACACAACTATGTATTCCTATAAAAAGAAACATCAGCTAATTTTGTTTGCATTGTAAACAGTAACTCACGACGATATTGATGATGGCAAAACAAACAACAAAAACAAAAAAAGAAAAATCGAAAAAATAACTAAGGAACGCTCTTGTTTTAATTTGTAAAACTGTGAGAAATGTTTCGCAACGAAACAAAAAAAAAAAAAAAAAAACATATATGATACCATTTATAAGAAAGAAAAGAACTAAGCGAGAGGCGTGTGTTAAGCAAGCAGCGCTCCAAAAGAGAGAATCGTATACTATACACAACACTAATTTACTCAACACTACACACTAATTTACACTACACACAAACACACACACACAGACGTACACATTTTGCATATGAACTAAAATATAAGTATACTTTAGTTTTTGCAAGAAAGAGAAATGTCCGTAAATATTACGAATATAATTTAGCCGTTACTATTTCTAATAAAAACGCGCTATTTTACTATTCGCAAATTCAAATAAACACTAATATACTCTGCGCGTCCCACTATGAGTAGGGTGTACAAAAAGTGTGCATAGCCGGTGAGCGATTTGTATTGAGTGAGCGAGTTTTTCAATCGAATGCCAACAATAACAAGCGAAGAAGTATATTGTTTTTGAACATGATTGGAGAAATGGCTAAAAGAAATCGAAAATTAAGCAACAACAAAAAATCAAGATGAGATATTGTTTTATACAAAAAAAGAAATGAAAAAAAAAAAACTATAGAAAAAGTCAATAAAAATGCAAAATATACAAAATGTTAAATTGAACGATTTTTATTTTTCGGATCCTTCAAATGCTCTGTAAGGGTCGAAATAGGAGTAAATCTTTTAACGGAATTGCAGAATATATTTTTAAAAACTGTTTTAAAATACATATTTTAGTCATAGTTCGTTGTGTCTATTGTAAACCCGATGAGTCCAGTCACTTGGATTTAGTTTTTATCATTTCTATAGCTAATCTTTTCTTTTTACCACGAATGTGATTGCGAGCCCTGCTCCATACACTACCAATGAAATGCCACTCTACTAAGCCATATTATAGGAATTTTCTGTTTGGTATTGCGTAAAATTATGTACTGTCTCAGCTTTTCGGCTAAACACTTGCGTGTGCCCCAGCAGGTCCTTCCCCCTCCCTATGATTTGCTCGAATCCCGCCAGACATTAGGTTTACCGAGGTGACGGTGTTATTGACGCCCACGTCACTGTAACTGCCCCCAAGCAGGGGCTTAACATCTGGTTGCTGCTCGCGAGCTGCGTGTGGCTCAAACCGTTGATTGTTAATGTCTTCAATTGCTTTGAGCAGCTAAGATAATATAGATAATATTTAGATATAATATTTGTAATGCTTTCCAGTGTCTCTGCGCCTCACCTCCTTCAGGCTGACGACGCCCACAAGACGACCAATGTAGGTGACATAGGCATGATTCACGCCCATCATAGAGAACAAGGAGTGAACTCGTAGCAATGAGGTGCTCTCCACCAGCTGAAAGGGCGAGGGATCAATGCGAGCGGATGCACTATAAAAATCGATGGGTCTGCTCAATTGATCCAGTTCCCAAAGCCTTTTGCCCTCGGGTGACATATCGACAACTCGATCGCCAATCTAGTGTTAAGTCATATAATTAATAATGAGAGCTTGGCCAATGCCATCGCACTTACCAGCTGCACTCGCTTTGAGGGACTGACCACCGGCTGTAGGTGCTCATTGGAGCCGAGCTCAAGATCGAGATCGGAGTCCGAGGAATTTTTAAATATAGACTGGAATGTCGAGCGCTGACATGCTTCGGAATTGCTGTGGACGCTGTTCAGCGAGTCGTTTAGCTGCCGACTATTCTGCATCAAACTTAGTTTTTGTGGATCCGGTGCCGGCACGACCTCAAAGCGTGATGGTCTTCGCTCGGCTGCCTGTTCTCTGAGCTCCTCCGCGCGCCATTTTTGTGCCATTTCCATGCGTTTTTCACGTCCAATTTGCTCTTCGATCAATTTCACCAGCTCCTGCCGCTGCACAGAGCCAATAAGTATCATCTTCTCGGGACTGTCCACCAGTGGTATGGAGCGCAGCTTCTTGTTCATGCGGAGCACCTCCGCGAGCCGCTGGTAGGTGATGCCCTGCCAAATGTACTTTACGTCGCGCAGCATAAAGTCGGACACCTGCTTGTTGTACATCGAGGAGCTGGTGTACAGCAGATCGGGCAGATAGGGCAGCTTCTTGATCATAATGACGCTCTCGTACATGGAGGGCTGCAGCAGAGAGGCGACGGCATTGGCCACCAGTACAGCTACCAGGACCGGTACCACAAACGCAATTTGTCCGGTAATCTCGAACACCACCACGGCCACAGAAATCGAGTGAGTCACCGAGCCGGCGAAGGAAGCCGCACCCACAATCGCATACGCGGCGGGCATTATTGGGGACATGCAGTTGCCATAACGCACGCCCAGCGGAAACATCCAGGCAACGAATTCTCCCGTCAAACGGCCAAAGCCGCTGCCAATCTTCAGAGCTGGTATGAACATGCCATGCGGCACGGCCATGGTGGAGGCAATAATGGATAAGAAATACTAGGAAAAAGTTCGATTAGCTGGAGGGATTATCCTTTGGCTGGTGCGGTAGTGAATCTACGTACATGGTAGAGCGTATAATATATGAGGTTGCTAAAGATGCTCGTATACTTGGTGGACCACTGGGCTACAATCTTCGCCTGTTTCTCACTAAGATCTTTTTCCGTCCACGTAAAGTTGCTGAACAACTGCGTCAACTGATTCTCTGTGCTAATATCCCCACCCAGGAATTGTCCAGTGCCCAAGGGAAACGTGAGTGTGGATATTAGCAGAGCCAGCATTCCGGGATATATGAGGCGACTGTAGGAAGGCATGAAAATGAGTTGTATTAGACGAAAGGAATTACAATAATTATCTATGCAATAATTTAATGTCTGCTGTCTTAGTATCAAAATAGTTATACTTATATTTTTATTAACTGATAATCTGATTCGACAAATTGACCGATTGACCGATGGACTACCTAATTGACTACTAGATTAGATATCACTCACTTCTTCTGCA